ATCAAAACTGTAAGGACTATAACATACTATGTTAAATCAAAACAGAATTTTTCTAAAATCCAATTTTTCGTTATTTTATGGAGTTTTTATGGGAAAATAACATATTTGACCATAACTTTTGAACCGTAATTTTTACAGATATGAAATTTGTACCATTTTATTCAGAATTTAAAGGGCTACATTATACTAAATTTTTATCAAAATCGTTCGGGCCATTTTTGAGAAAATCAGATTTTTCCGGTTTTTTATGGGTTTTTATGGGAAAATCCCCATTAAAAATAAAAATTTCAAAAAATGAAAAAAAACGCCTGGAGATACCATGGATTAGAACCTACATACCAAATTTCATCGAAATCGGACCACAGGTGTGGTCTCTAGCTCTGTACACATCCAGACACACACATACACGCCATCCCTATACTTGTGTGGACATGGGTTTTTAACCAAACTATGTGGACATCAAGGCACACGGCTGAAAAAAATATCCTAGGTTCTTTCTAACCTCAAATTGAAGATGAATAAAAGAACACTCCTTGTTTATTGGTCTAAATGTAGTAAAAAAATCATAAAAATTGTGTGGACGTCCCCAATGCACGAGTCGGTCATGTCCCCACAAGTAATGTAAAAGCTAGTACACATGTCCACACAGATAATGCAAATGTTGACACAATCGAGTGTTTTTTCGCTTAAAGGTGTTAATGTCCACACAGTTTGGGAATTTCACTGGTTGCATTTTGACAGTATATTTAGGTTATGTCTCCACTGTTCTTTATAAACAAATCGTTGTATATTAATCACATCCGAATTGCTATGTAGCATATGAAATAACAATATTCATGTATAAATAAATTGTAAAAAATATTTAATAAGTAAGAAATACAGTTTCTCGTCAGATTAAAATATTAGGCCAAAATACCAATGTCTTCATAAAGATATTGCTGGAGAACTATCGATATTTTTTTCAGTGATACAATCGATTTGGTTCCATATAACTAATATAATTTAATATTATATATTAATATTGTTTATTTGATATAAATATTTTATAGTATTAATTTCATATTAAAATTTTACAATATTGATTTATTAATTAATATTAATTGAATATTTTTGATATTAATAATATATAAATTAAATACTTTGCTGTATTTGGTTTTGACTTAAGCTATGACACCAACTGACTTTGTCTCTGAACAGAAAGCCCTTTCAGATGAGGTACTCAATTCAGTTTCAAATTTGACTATAGCTTGACTATGTTGAACTGTAGCTCTAGTTAGCGCCTATAATCGACGATAGTGTAAATGGATTAATGCAGGTAGGAAAATGATGGTTCTGTACAGTAATCAGCGACCGATAGTACTAAGAAATATTATCATATGAATCACGTCTCCCCCTTTATATATGATACATTACTTGTACTTGTAGTTAGTTAGCGTCCATAATCAACGGCAGTACAAAAGGTTTTATGAGAAGAAATAAAGCATATTCCCGTATTAAAATTACTGGCGGACGTAAGGAAAATGTACTATATATTTTAATTAATGACTATACTGTCGGTACGGCACTTAAATTGCAACCTACAAGTCAACCCAACACTTCGGTCATCTAGATGGTGGGGTAGCATCTTGACAACAACCCCTTACTATAAGAGGAGAGTTAAACAATTTGTCTTCTTAGTTTTTTAATTGTAATTCACTTTATTATTGAGTTCTTTCTATTTTTTTCAAATGAATTATGTCCGTACGAATGAATTTTAGGAAAACGGAATCTATCGGGAAAATGCAGCCGTTCGGTTCTTAAGAAACTGTTAGGATGATGTAGATGTCGAAACGCTTTGTCAACGAGGGCCGTTCCTAGGGTTGTCAGCGCCCGGGGAAAATGTAGTCGCGGTGCCCCCTCCCCACCAGTACTATACCTCTCGCCACCCTAAGTTGAGGCAGCCCAGACGGACGGGCAGGGTCATTATCGGCCGGTCCCGCCCGACCCTTTATAATCCGATTAGTGACACTTCCGTGAACGCTCTAGTTCCATAATTGTCATTAACAAAGTTAAAAACCGATGTATAAACATAGTCTTTTACATTAATAACGTCGATTTAACAAACATTTTCGTTTTTGTCCCATCAAAATCGGACAATGTTTACGGTTTGTGAGCTAAACAAAGTAGTGTAGATCCCAAAATCCAAAAACCGTAAACATTGTCCGATTTTGATGGGACAAAAACGGAAATGTTTGTTAAATCGACGTTATTAATGTAAAAGACTAAATTTATACATCGGTTTTTAACTTTGTTAATGACAATTATGGAACTAGAGCGTTCACGGAAGTGTCACTAATCGGATTATAAAGGGTCGGGCGGGACCGGCCGATAATGACCCTGCCCGTCCGTCTGGGCTGCCTCAACTTAGGGTGGCGAGAGGTATAGTCGCATTCGCATATGTTAGCTTCATACTACATTACGTTTACATTTTTTGTTACAAATTATTGTTAACTACAGCCTCATTTTTCAGATTCGTATTTATTAACGCCATAATCTGATAACCTTTACGATTCATGCAAACCTACAAGACCACAAACAAAATTTTCTGCTGCGCCCGGGTCAACTTGCCCCGGTTGCCCCCCCCTTCGGACGGCCCTGTGTCAAGCTGTGGTTCATAATTGTTGATTAAGCTATTTTTTATGTCACAGGTGAGACAACGACGTTAGATAAACATTAAACCTTATAAATGTTAATTTAAAAAGATTCATTGCCCATAAGGATTCAATTTTCATTAAATTTATTATATTTATATTCTAGAATGGTTTATTTCACCTTCCCAATATTTATGTCGTGATATTATGTCGTGGCTCCTAGATCACCAGATTTTAGCGTGTGTAAATTTCTTCTGTGAGGCGTTCCTAAACTTAGCATCTACACTCACAAACCCCGTACCTAAGGACGCAATTAACCAGTAAGTAAAGACAATTAATGATGGCCATTTAATTAATGATGGGACTTGTAATGGAAGAATGTAATATGACAGGGATAAAAACTGTACTGACTAATTTTGTCACAACTGAAATCTAACTTAGTGCATTTAATCAATCAGACAAAGACCGAAAACTCGTTCAATCTCGGGGGTTCTTGCACACTATCCTGTTGCGTTGTGCGGTTGTTTAGAATCTACTAGAAATGTTTGATGTTGATAAGTTTATCGAAAATTTTCACGGCTAGCTATCACTGTGGGACAAACAGGCATAATAATATTCTGATAGCATAGAATACTATTCCCAAAACGCGTGTTTATTTTTGTTATCTGAGGCCTCATGATCTGAAGAAGTTCATCGAATGACTGGACTGACATATACTCCGTTCACACAGCCATGGCACCTGACGGATTAGGACACCCCATGGAAACCCTTGGGGCCTCCTAATCCTTCAGGTGCCACGGCTGTGTGAACGCACTATAGGTACGATGGTATAAAAAAAACGTTGTCTCATGTTTCCTGATGTTTTGTAAAACGTACGAAAACGTTCACCTGCATCACGTTCACGACAAAAAGGATGAATCCAATGACTTCTGTTATTTGTTCTTAGTAAACCACTTGCTTCCATTACACACACAAGTTTTATCAATAATATAAAAGGATTACCTCATCCAACCACAGTTGCTGGTATGACGACTAGTTTCGTTCCTTAGAACTTCGTCAGGTCATTGTATGCAACCACATAATCAATGTATTAACATTGTGGTATGTCAAAAGATTCTTTAAAACACTGTCAAAATAACAATAGTCAAAACTAGTCATGTTGATCAAATTTAAAAAAAGCGAAAAAACTGGTTAAAACTGTAAAGTCTGGCCAGCACTCTCTATTCACTTGCAACTTGTTGCAAATGGATCTTGAAAATTGTTTTTTTACTTACTAATTACTATATTGAATATGTAACATTTAAATGTGATAATGATTTATTATATCACACACTCATTATATTTATTATGAATGAATGAATTATATATTTATTCCGACAAAGTTACAAAAATTGTACACAAATATTTAATGTAGAAGAAAAACATAAATGTGAAATGAACTGAATAAATTAAATTAACCTTTTAATCTAATTCTATTTGATCAAATACAAAAAATTAATAAATGAAAGAAGATGGGTGAAAATATGAGCTAAATGGAATCATAAGAACAAATAGTGAAATAAATAACTATGAAAAAATATTAGGTGGCATAAAAAGTTATAAAAATTTTATTTATATAAATAAATAAATAAATATATATAAATGATAATTATGCTATGTTTAACCAAACTGTAAGGATTATTTAAATAGTTGATTGGGTTATTCATTTATTATGAAAAGTTGTACAAGGAGTATTCTATATCAGGAGATTGGGAAGCCAAACACTCAAGTCCCATTGCTAGTAGCCACCAGCAGCTTTCCTTGTTCACCAAAAAGTCTGTAGGAGCGCCACTAGTCAGACATCACTAAGTCCACACAGTTAATGTATTTCCTGTGAAAATTGTGTGGACGTGTGTGATGTCCACATAAGCGACCAGGTCCACACAGTCTGGTCACATTCACACTCATGTCCCCACAGCTTATGCAGCACGAAAGCACACCCACACACACACACACACACAGACATCACTTCGAAAACCACTTTTTTGGGTCCAGGGGGACCCAAAACGAATATATCCACTCAAAACTCAAACTCGAAAATTTTGACGAAAACAATACTTTCTCCATATACTATGGTATAGGGGGAGAAAGTAATAAACAAACAGTAAAGAATAAACACCTTAAAATCACAATGCACCGTTCGCAACTGCAAACTGCAACTGTTGAAACGAAACAACTATCTTAACAGGTCCAATTAAAGATATACAGTGAAGCTATTACACGATTAGCTGTTATCCTGTGCATGTGGAAGCTGAGGTGCTCGTGGGTACAGAACGTCGAGTGTTACTGTGTATTTAAAAACAAGGTTCCCCATCCCATCCCATGGTGTGTTTGTGTTTATGTTATGATAAGGTTAGGTGGATTTAGTTGTTTTGAGAGAGATGTTTACTGGTAGGCTTTAACTTGCAAATTAACTTAAATAATAATGTTGCAGTACTTAGCCTTACAAGTTAAACATTATTTTGTGAACCTTCATTGTGGCGTGTTAGGCCTAATATCAAAAGCTGTATCATATTTGTTAAGCTATTTTAGGTTATCCTAAGCTACATTTAAAGATACAATTTTGAGGTTTTAGGCCACTCAATTTTAATCTAGGCATAACTTACTCTTTTTTATGATCCATCCAGGCCTACATCCACAGATTAACCTACATGTATCCAAGACTTCTTTACTTGAGTAAGAATGGATTTGATTCAGTTCTTGAACGAAACTGATGGAACAGACAATGCCATAAACTTTTCGATGAAATATGGGATACTTCCCGATAGAGCTCCCAAAACGTGTGTTAAGTGTGGTGGAGTTGATTCTCTGAGGATAAACAAATATTCAAGAAATCCACAGGTACCTTACATCTTCGTTTGTAGCCAAAAAAGTTGCCGCTGGTCGGTTTCCATATCAAGAAACACAATATTTGACAAACTTCACTTTCCCTTATCTCACGGATTGCGCCTAATATACTTCTGGCTCTTAAAGTTGTCTGTTCAGGACAGTTCTGACCAGTTACAGGTAAGACATGCAAAAACGTAACTCAAAGATCTTTATTTAGAGCCTTAGTGATAACGAGGGTATCCTAATTGTTCTTTAGTGTACAGTTTCTTAACTGGGCTATGCTAATACTGATTGAAACTATCAATTTGAAAATATCGATTAACTTAATAGGCCTAATCAATGTTTTTAACTAAGTTAGGCCTAGCCTAAGTTATATCAATTAATAGAATTAAACTGTCATAACCTAACCTACATTAACTATGTAACCAAACTTAATACTAATCGAATCAATAGTTTCTATCGATATTAGCATGGCCCAGTTAAGAACTATAAAAGGGAGAATGCTTGTTCAAAGACTTTTGGCGAACAAACATAATGTGGGACGAGGTTCTTTCAAGAGAACCTAGTAAAAAATGGCAAGACTGGCTACAAGCAGTGATTGTCTGCAGAGCTTCACCATACCTCGATGCTATTTTGACGTCAAAACAATTGAAGAAGTTGAACTTCATACGTTTGACGATGCTAGTGAAGAGGCTATGCAACAGTTTCATATTTACAAGTGCCAGAGGTACCCGAAAACTGCCCAAGAAATACATACCGTAGCCACTTGGCCGAATCTTGGCTGTCTACCTAGGTCACGATGGCCAAGTACGAATAGTAGACATCACAACTTCACCCCCTAACTTACCCGTTCTTTATTGTCCGTGTACGGTAAACAAATTTAAATTTTTGATTTGTTATAACTTAAACCTAACTTATAGGTAGTTTATTAAGTTAGGCCTACCTCTTAAATCCAAACATAACTTAACTTAGGCCTACCATTAATTTTCACCGCAGATGAATAGGTAACTTATTTACGACGGTGATAAAACTTAACACTGTTCAAATAGCCTTATCTACCACTACTGGAGTTCTGTCATTAGCATTAGGCCAAAATTAATGGGTGGTTCACTTACTTAATTAACTTAGGGGTAAGTTTAGTCCTTAACTTATTTAGCTGTAATTTAAGTAAATTCATCCTTACCAGGTGTTTGAGTTACTAAGCTCAACTGTTCTATATAATCTAAACCCTGAGGTCTTTAATCATTTATTAGATTTGTATCTTTGTTTTATTGTTGCCCAAATTCGTGTAAGTTAGGTAAGATGCTTGTTACACATCTTACCTACAAGAACTCAGGCAACAACCACAAAGATATCCAAATAGAAAATTTGGTAAAATTAAGTTAGCTCATTACCTCTGCCAAGGAAATTAACTTTTTAGTTGCCATTTATCCTTCTGCTAGATCATGAGCTTTAAAATTACCCCTTAAAATTAAACAGCTAAGCCATCAAAGTATATAACACAACTGGAATACCGGGTAGAGAGAATATGGGGGATGAAAAGCGTGCCGTTTCGGCAAACTTCCCCCACCACTATGTGGGACCGATCACAGATATGTGAGTTTATCAAACCGTGCACGCGGTTGTTAATACACTCCTGGCGTCCATACAATAGGTTGACTGTAATAACAGTTATATATTCGGAATCTGCATTAAATGCAGAATCTGACAGTATAAATAAATCTTATTTAAATCGTTACTAAATTTTAACAACCAAAATTATTAAAAAAAAAAATCACACCTTGACATGAAAAAGTTAGGGGAGCGAGGATTTTTTTAATTTTTTGGACAGAAGCAAACTTCAAGCGACAAAATTGTACCGTAGCTAATTGATAATCTTCAGCATATAGCCAAGCAATTTCAAATAACATTTGTTAGTCGTGTGTAATGGAGTAATTATAGTAGCGCAAGGAGGTTCTTAATAAATCGCGCCGCGGGCCGTCCTCCCTGGTTCTGCTGATCTTTTCGTTTACGGTACCTACTCCAAGAAACATTTTGAGTACAATCAATAATTATATAAAATACATTTTTATTACAGGTAACACATATAACTAAATACTGTATTATCACCTTCTAGGTAAACAAACTATTTAGGCCCTACATACAATGTTACCGTATATTAAAATATAAAATGTAGACTTATATACAGGGACAGGGACTGGTAATTCCCCCATTGTTTAGTTGTAACAAAGGATCATTTACTATCTACTTTGTTTGGTAATTAATGAGAAATTTCAAATATTAAGGTTCAGCAAGTAATTGATAAGGTCATAAATACTAAACGTAGGACGTATTTAACGTAAAGGCAATAACAAAAATCTTTACTATTATATAAAAATCGAATGGTGTCTGTCTGTATGTGTGTTACTAATAGGTGCAAAAACTACTAAACCAACTGGGCTTAAATATTACAAAAATATACCTACCATACCAAAATTTTGTAGCCTATCAATTATTCAATCGATTGTAGTTAATTGTTGCCTTATTGTAAATAGTTCGACATATTGATAGTATAATCTCGTACAGTAAGAATCGTAATAGACAAAATGATCGAATCACTTACTGAAGCTGTTAATTCACATTAGCAAAATTGAAAACAAGCTGGAAGTAGTTTTTGAGAGGTTATCTTTACATATGAACTATTTTAGATACCTCGGATCGTAAAACTTGAGCTCGGGTCGAAAAGAGTAACTTTAGGCCGTAGTGATGGAATATGCTATTAAGTACACACCTGTGGTTCTTAAACTCACATTCCTATGTAGAATAATTGAATGTTGTTTAGTGAAAAATGTTTTACAATTTCTGCTGAGTTATCATAACTGCCCAATGTTAACTTGGTTGCAAAACTTATAAATCAAACGACAGTAATTTTGTATCATTTTCAGTTACCAGAACACATAGTAAACGAGTATTACAATCACTTCAGGCATGTCTGCGCCTTTATAATTATCAACTACACCCAACCCATTGGTGGGCCCAAACACATAATAGAGATGTGCGAATTCCATCTTCAAACCAGGGAGGAATCTTACGATGTCTGGATGATCACTGGAATTGACAGAAGCAATGGGGAAAATTTTGTCACTCATCTGTCAGTTATGGATTCAGAAAATCTGTGGCCTATCATAAAGAACTACATTCTACCAGGAAGTGTGATTGTGACTGACAGACACAAGGAGTTTACTAGGAAAGAAAAGGAAGCAGAGAATCCAAGTTTGACTTTCTTTCCACCTTCAAAAAAACTGCGCACAGAAGATGACTATCACTTGGATGCCATGTGGAATAATTTATTGGACTATGTTGAGAAGGAAATACCTCCAAACACAACAGATTTGAGAAAGGAATTGTATGCGTACCAGTTTTTCTATTTCAACAGAGAAGAGTATTGTCAAAAACCAGCATCACAACTCATTTTACCATTTTTAATCGATGTAAAACAGGTATACCCGGGGTTTGAAAAGGACCCGTATTTAGAGTTGAGGAAATCATGGAAGAAGCATTGACTTGACATTTTTCTTGCCTGATTTGAAAGTTTATTGTTAAATTTGTTTACTCATGTCAAAGCAGTGTTTTGGCTAATTCCTTAAAAGTACAAAGACATTTCTTCAAAGATACATAGCTCAGTTTTTTAAGCAATCCTATTTTTACTAAAAGACTGATTAATTCATTCCAAATCAAATAAAACTTATCTATTTAGATCTGACATTTAATAAATCAATTTGTGAACAATAATTGTTAAAAATAGGTAAATTTACCTTTTTTTACAGCTCAAACTGTTGTAACTTGAGCTACGGCCGTTTCGGCGTTATAATGCCATTGTCAGACATAGAACATTCAGCTGTGGAAGTAGCGTCGTCAAAGTCAAAACACACAACACGAACAAAATTTTACATTTAACGAAAATACAACGAATAAATTAAACAGGCCTGTTGCACACACGGTACCGGTTGGCATTGCCGCAATCCGAACTGGATGCTGTCGGCATCCAGTTTATACGTCTGAAGATGGCATTATAATGCCAAAACGGCCGTAACTCAAGTTACAACAGTTTGAGCTGTAGACAAAGCTAAATACCTATTTTTAATTATTATCTTAGCTCAGGGGCTAAAACATAGATTTTAATTCAACAATAATCATTTCAGAGACATGGCAAGATTTTATTGCATTATAAAGCCTTGCTAGATAATTATGTAGTTTTCTTTCTTCTGTAATAACTATATGATTACAAGTATTGCGATTGACTGGAAAAGTCCTATTACATGTAGTTTTTAATAATTTGGTTTAAACTTGTTGAACATTTTTTGGTGCTACTGGTGCTAGGCAGTCTAATAATAACTTAATATAAAACAACCCAGAATAATAAGGACACATTTCAATGACAGATGAGCTGTCTAAGGTATTTAAAATAGTTCCTTTGTCTTGTTTTTTATGAGTGTAAAGGTTTTAATAATTATGCATTTGTGAAAAAGTTATCTCATGTATTTTACTAGCCTAAAAATGTATATAGTAGCCTACCAGTAAAATTTAGAATTATTCAATAGTTTTAAAATCACACTATTGTAAATGCCAATAATTTCTTTAGATTAAACAAAACATGAATAACTTTCTAACTGCATTTTATTATTGAAAACCACCTACTTTGGGTAGTGGCTGGATTTATAATTTAGCTCAACCAATAAATAAAATTATAGCCTCATAGACTACAACAGTCTAAAGCTGTTAACTTCTTAAAAATCTATGATATAAGATAAGAACATATATGATATACTAATTAAACATAACCCTCCTGTTAAATATTGACAACATACATAACGGTACCAAATGTAAGTGAAACACCAAATAGAAAATTTTCAAATAGCTGGCTTATACTGATGTGGCAGTTGTAATACTAAGCGTAATCATAAGAATAGAATGGTAACTGTGTAAGCCAGTGGGATAGAGTCCTATTAGAGTAAACAACCAAACTTACACATTTATAGTTTCAATGGTGAACTAGGACAGCGGTTACCAAACTTTTTGGCCTGGAGACCCACCAAGCGCCACCTTGGAATTCTTTTGCGACCCACCTATTAAACACTATTAATTTTAGACTATTATTTTACTTTCCCCCCTCTACATAGCATCTGGAGAATGTAGCCTATTGTTTTCGTCAACATTTTAAAGTTTGAGTTTTAGGTGGACATATCCTTTTAGGGTCCCACAGAACCAAAAAAAAAGTTATGAGTGTGTGTGCGTGCATGTGTACAGATAGCATGAAGTTGAAGTTTTTTTAAAAATTCCTTTTGAAATTTTGATTTTTAATGGCGATTTTCCCACAGTTTTTTCCACCTAATAACGGAAAAATCAAATTTTCACAAAATGGTACAACCCTATTGCTGTAAAAATTACGGTGTAAAACTTATTGTTATTTATGTGATTTTCCTATAGAAAGCCCTATAAAATAACAAAAGAATTGGTTAAAAAAAGGCTCAAATGATTTTGAATTAAAATTGAGTATGGCTTAGTCCTCACAATTCTAAAATAAATAGTGCAACCCCCATTTCTATAAAAATAGGGTTCAACAGTTATTGCAACTTTAGTGATTTTACCAAAGAAATGTCATAGCTACTCCTACTTACACATGATAAAAAGTTTGTTGGCAAGCTTATTGGCGAAAGTATGTGTGTGATTGCTGATACCCTTTATTTAATCAACTTAATAATATTATCAAGTAATAGGTATATAGAGAAACACAAACTAAATGAAAATTGTGAAGATGATAGATGGTACAGTACTCTCACACAAGTGCGTTATTTGCAACCCAGTTAGCTCTTGATACTATTACAGTATTGAATTGATACAATTACTGTTATTGGTGCTCTTCTTTATGTGCTTTTAAAAAATATGTTGGAAAATGTTTTATAATAGAGACAAATGCTTTACAATCAGTGGCGGCGATAGCGAGCCCACAGGGCCCGCGGTGTGGGGGGGGCCCGCAAGCTAGGGGGGCCCTTGAGCCTTGACCGGGATTTTCGGTAAATTTTACCGGCACACGTGCCCGCGATAGTGTGACAGGCTCAGCCACACGGGTCCCCTATCATAACAATATTTATATGAGAATTAAAATAGGCTACGTTTTTTGAACGCACTAAAAATGTTACTAAGGGCCTCAGGCCAGATCGGTTCAAAATCGGGTTGTTTTGGAAACGGTTGATTTTTATAATAGGCCTATATAATGTCGATCTTCGAGCCGAGCAGAGCCTGGATTACAAGCTTGAGAGATCAAGTACAAAGTCAGAAAATCAAGCTCGAGCCGATTTTCTCAGTATTCAATATACAATAATGCACAGTTAAAAGTAAAAGCTTTTATATCCGTGAGGATCACGCTCACGAAATTGAAAGATTAGGCCTACGCTTTTGCCGCGATCGCGGTTATTTACAAGAACATTTCCCCGTGGGTGACAATGCCAATGTCTCCACGGCTGCAGATGTTCAATATTTTACTGCGATTGCGGAAGACGATAATGACGTTTCTTTTTTTAGCAACAGATATATCTAGGATTTAGCCGCGATTACGGAAAAATGATTTACCCGTAACCACCGACGGGTCGCGGGGAGATATTAGGCCGTGATATTAGATTGAGCCGTGAACGCGGGAGACGATGATGCTGCTATCTAATGATATCGTAGGTTTGGTTGCATTTGCAATCACGGTAAAGTATGATAATGTTTCTTCCATGACTTATGACTATGGGATGTATTTACGATTTTTCCGCGATCATGGAAGACGATAATGACGCCTCGGTGGATGCCTTGTCAAGTCTATTCCAAAATTGCAAGTTTAGGCGGTAATACATGGGAAAATGTTTTTAAAGATCATTGGGTGAGGGGGGCCCGGCGAACAATCTTGCGGGGGGGGGGGGGGGCCCGCGGGTTCTTATCGCCGCCACTGTTTACAATTCTGGTGTTAGAAGTTAATATATGACATTCACATATGTCATGAAATATGTAGAGCTATGCAGATGTTTTTGGGTCCAGAACTGTTACAATAGAAGCCTACTTCAGGTCAAGCTCAAACTAACATTCAATATCTAACACTTTCTTTATGAACTCTTAATGATAAATCTTTAAATTGTGATTTCAGAAACTCCTTATAGGTAAATCAAACACTATGCTTATGGGTTATCACTCAGTAAGTTAATTGTTAACAAATTAACTGAGCCTCCCTATCCATTTTACAAAACTTGAGTTTGAAAGAGCTAGGGGTATTACAGTACAGTTTCAAAAGTTTACCCAAGTTAATTAGTAAATGTTGTGCATGTGCATTTATTACAAATCCACCCTAACTATAATCCGGCACTATACTGTGATCATCTCCATCGATCACGGTGATGTTGAAATCATCTTCGTGTTTGTGGCAACACCATGATCATCTACACATTGTAGGATTTGTTAAAAAATGATGCGCTAGGTTGGCCCTTTGCCTGTAGACTAAGATTGTAAATATTTGTCGAGAAAACTTTGAAGACATTTTCTGTGATTACAAAATCAGAGTGCTATTGACACCCAAAAAATACCAAAACTATTCAAATCCACTGAAAAATGTGTACCGTAGTACAAAATTTTCAAACAGTTTTTCTTTTTTCAGTATTTAGAATTAGTATTTGAATACTCCTCGTTAAAACCTAAAAAGACGTTAATCACATTGAATTATGAATATACTGAAACTGAAAACATTTTAATGTAATGGTCTGCCCCTTGTTACCTGCTCGGTACTATTCTGGTGCCCACTCAGGAATTGACAAATTACGAGTCCCAATGAAAAAAACACATTTTTAATAATGTTTGGTCTCTTCCTGTGGCTCATAGTTTGGGTGATCTAGGAGATCACACAAGGATGTTTGTTTGGGTTTGTACTTTGGTAAGTCTAACTAATGACGTAGCAAAGAAATAAATTCTAAATAGGCAGAACAGTAGAAAGAACCTGTATTAAAAATATAAATTCTTTTGGATTTTTGTTGTTAATTGTTTAATATAAAATCCTATAACTTAGTTACTATGAGTTTGTAGGGCAATGTAAAGAATTGCTAGAAATTCTAATGTATTCCCGTTACTGAGAGAGCAACTGATAGTGAGTGACCTTCTGAGAATATCATCAATTAAATTCCATGTATTAATTAATATCATCAACATTGTTGATATCCTTTATTAGTTTGAATCACTAGATTTTAAGCATATTACAGAACTTTCATCAAATGATCAAATTATAGTCATGGTCATTGTGGAGGTATAACATTACATTGATTGTGATGGCGTTGTTTGAGGGTTCTAATCCAATCACGGTTGTTAGTTCTTATTTATTGTGTATATGCACGCCTTTGGCATTTTAGAAGATTTATGTTAGAAAGTAAACAGTACAAACCCTGGTCTTTATACTACTGAAACATCCACCTTTTTATTAGATAGCATCATTAAATTTATTGATAGCGCAGTGTCAGATTGTGAGCCTGGAAATGATCTTGCCTGGAATCTTAACCATCTAATCTTCAGATTTGAAGGCGTATTCAGCTTCTCAGAGGAGATACAACAAAAGGTTTAATAAATAATTGATAAAGAGTTATTTTTAAAAGTAGAATTGTTTCTAAAAAAGGTTGTTTATTCAAGACTTTATTATACTGGGTACTGGGTAGCTCACTGGTTACTGTGCTCGCCTAGTAATCATAAGGTTGCTGGTACGATCCTTGATCATTGGGCTTTTAATGAAATGGTCCTGACTAATTAAACAGATGGTCATAGTAACAAATTTAAACACAGATCATTCTACACTCGCCCTTAATTTATTTTTTGGGTTAAATTACGCACCTAGGAGTCCTCCTCATCCTAATAACAACTAATAATGAATGATAACATTTATTTATTTTCTGCAAGGGCATAGTGAAAGGTACACCTAACACTTAAATATTTCTGAAATGGCAATGGCAAAATTATGTCTGTCCGTGTGTGTGTCTGTCTGTCTGTATGTCTGGATGTGTACAGAGCTAAAGACCACACCTGTAGTCCGATTCTGATGAAATTTTGTATGTAGGTTACCTACTAATCCATGGTATATCTTGGCAATTTTCATTTTTTAGAAATTTTGATATTTAATGGTGATTTTCCCATAAAAACCCATAAAATGAAAAAAAAAATTTAAATTTCTTCAAAATGGCCCAAAAGATTTTGATAAAATTTTTGTATATTGTAGCCCTTTAAATTCTGAACAAAACAGTAGAACTCCCATTGATTCCTGTAATAAATTACAATTCAAACGTTATTGTAACTTATGTTATTTCCCCATAAAAATCATAAATTAAGATCAAATCTGATTAAAAAAAAAGCTGGTTTTGATTTAGATTAGTAAGTATGTGAAGATCCTTTTAATTCTTAAAAACATAGTGCAACCCCAATAGTACAGGAGCTGAGGGGGTTTGAGCATGCATGAAAGTAGTACGCAATTTTATTGCTGATTATTGTAAAATGGACTGTGGTGATCAAAATTACGTACGTCGCCTATTTCAAAAGTGGTCGATCGGGTGGGGGGGAGAGGGCAAACATGGCGGGGCGTGCTATGCGTTAGAGATAGAGTCCTTTCAATGAATAGCACGTTCCGCCATCTTTGCCCCCCTCCCCCCAAGTTCTCGACCACCTGAAAAGTAGGCGGCATGTGTATTTTTAATCACTACAGTCCGTATTACAACTATCAGCAAAGATATTTGATATTATTTCTTTGCGACACTCACAAATTAATTCTACTTTTGGAAACAAAACTACACAAAAAGTCCATTTTTACATATTTTAATTTTATACAACAACTTGTTTATTATTAGAGATACGACCTCAGACCTAATACTCATTATTGTAGTCCATATTTTTAGGATTACAACGACATTTTAACCAACGTTCTATCTTTTATCGCTTTCGAAATATCAGCGTTTTAACGCATAGCGCGCCCCGCCATGTTTGCCCCGTCCCCCCACCTTATCGACCACTTTTGAAATAGGTGACATACGTAATTATGATCACCACAGTCCATATTACAATAATCAGCAATAACATTGCGTTCTACTTTCATGCATGCTCAAACCCCCTCAGCTCCTGGACTACAGTTGCTGGAAAAACCACGGTTCAAAAGTTATCGCAGCATGTGTTATTTTTCATAAAAAACTGAAAAATTGATTTTTTGAAGAAAAAAATCGGTTCTGATTGAAATTAGCCTGTTATGGTCCTATCGTTCCAAACAAAATAGTTTAATTCTCCATTACTATAAAAATTACGGTTCAAAAGTGTATGCAACTTTTGTGATTTCACCTATTAAATAATATCATAGTTAGTTACTCTCATCCCTTACTCATCCATGATAATGGATTTGACAAACTAATGGGAGAAAGTATGTGTCAGATTGCTGATACCGTCTGTTTTATAAAGACTGTACATTTCCCATTTACTTAAGTAGAGAGTAAGGTGTAGGTCATGAATTAAAAAAAATACAATTAAAAACACAGAAATAATTTTATAAAATGTAATTACTGTATACAAATATATTCAATGTGGATTTTCATAAGTGTAAAATTGTGCTCTCAGACTAAAAATAATAAGAAAAATCCATTTTAACTATTTCTGATATATAGCAAAGGAATTTTTTCAACCTATTGAGTAGGCAACTATAGGTCTACAGTTGGTAAAAACTATTGAAACAGATTAAGTAGTAGCTTTCAAAATTCTAAGTTGAACTTGTTAACGGCTAGTAATTTACTCTCATCAATTTGAAGACGTGGTAAAGGAAAATACAGTATTCGGGTTTGTTTGCTTATTAAAAGTGAAGGCTGAAGCAAAAGCATTGACATTAATTGGATATGTACTTTGATTAATAATAGGATTATTGGTTTGTTTAGTAGATGTAACAGAAAAATTAAAATCCTTACACATTAAATACACTTAAAATAATGGCTAGTTTGATTACTTAAGATACCTTGTACGGTTTGGCACATTTGTATTTAGATATATTTTTATGGTTTATAAAAACGATAGATATTTATTAACTAACTAAAAAATATAATCTTTGTATCCTTAAAAAATACAATTTTAACTTGATTCTGGAATAAAATGTAAAAAGAATTATGCATTCCAAAGTTACACTTACGTTGGCTGCAACTTGTATTCATATCACAGAAAAATTGTTTTCAATTGTATCACCCTTAATATACAACAACAAACTTTTAACATATGCAAGGCAAAGTTTTCAAACAACCAGTGATCAATAAAATTTGTACTACCCAAATAACGTAACAGAGAAAACAAACAAATTTATCTTAAATATTTAACTAACTGGATATGTAACAGACACAAAATGGTTTGTTGCTAAATATTAAATACATAACATTAAGGCTACATCAATCAAAGTTATTCAATAAAATTAACAGGACAAAATAATATTAAAACCAACAACTAATAAACAACATACATGATTAACCAATAAAAAAAGTAAAATAAACACTTGACAAACTTAACATGTTCTACATCTAATCTAAACAAAACACTAAAGTTATTAATTGAATTTTTGTTATATTTTTTTAATAATTGAATTGAACATAAATATATATCACCAAGAGTTTCACAGGAAGACAACATTTATCTAGATTAAACTAACAACTGTTAGATATGTGCTAAATGTAACGGAATTTTTCTTTATTTCGATAAAATGTAGTAAATATGCACTTGTAAACAGAGCCACGGCCACCGGTGGTCCTTATCTGGGGCCAAACCCTTTTACGCTTCATTAGTCTTTAGTTCGCACAAAAACAAGCACTAACTCCAACAATTCAAAAATACCTGGCCCATGGATAAGAGCGAACAATGAAGTTGGTACCCAGTGGGGGGAGGCAAGAGGGGATGGAAATATTCCTGTTACTTAGTGTTTTGGGCAACGGATTGTGACCTTCCAAGAATATCATCACCATTGATGATATCCTTAATTAATATGATATTTAATATTAATTTAACTTACTAGAGTAATAGCATAGAAAATTCATGAAATAGTCAAATTATAAACTGAAGCCAGTAATCATATGGGCGGCTCAGGAAATTACCAAATTGTTTGTGTTTTAAACTAATATAAAACTAGAATATAACCTAGCCTGTTAAATAAAAGCAACTATATTAGCTGTTCCTTTAATGCAATGTTTTTTTTTTCACATTAAAAATATTTAACTTAGCTGTGATTGGATGTGAATTTTACTATCATTTATTCAATCAAATGAAGTGGAAAAATTAATATTTCACTATACACTATAGTAAGGGCTCTATAAATTTAGCCGCTAAAAAAAACAATGTTAGAGCGAACTGATTGCTATGAAACTTAGGAAAACTGTTCTATAACGGCGATTCCAAGTAAGGTCACCCGGGTTTGAACGAATAGTTTATGTGACCCTTTGATTACTTTTTAATGTTTCACTATAAATTTTATACTAAAAGTGTATAGTTTTTATTTAGGTTTTAGTTTATAATTTCAAAAAAGTATTGTAGATTGCAACACCTAGCTTGACAAAATTATGGAAGGCCCACATGAAGAGTATATTAGGTACTTTTAAAAATTTACCTGTTTATAACAACAATAATAACTGTTAAGATGTCCACTGATCATCCTGTATGTCATACGGGCAAGTTTGGCTTTTATTTTTTAAGATTAGTCTACCCTTACAAATAAATATTTCAGTAATCATGAAAACATTCTTTGTAGGCTCGTGATAATGACATTCATATGAAAGCCTGAATTGTTAATTGTTACTGAAAACTACAACCAAGCATGATGATTATGGTGTTACGTTGGATTCAAAAATCATTTTCTACCCTTGCATCAGCTCACTTTCACCTTCCTCTCCCGTTCTCTCTTGCTTCACTCTTTACTCAACCACCCTTTCCTCCCAGCAAAATACCCCGTTTAGACATTATTCTCCGCTGGCCTTGATACTTTAATGACTCCTGAATTTCCAAGTTCGATAAGCCCAGTGGCCGTGGTAGCTGCACTCTATTCACTTAAAGAATAAATTTTCTGTGGCATTATTTTCAAAGCGCTCTCGGGAACTTAAAAGGGGTTTTTTTTTAAACCTAAGATATGTAAGAAAATATGAGGATATTTTTTTTCCTACAGCAAAAGTAATAAATAATTTGAATTTGAAGTATTTTAATGAAAGACAAATTTATTAGAAATACGTTTTATGTTAATCTTTGTAGGCAAATATTTATTTTTTCTACCAGAAAAAAACAAGCTTTAAAATATGTTAGGCAGATTTAAAAGGAGTTATTTTCCATCAAGTGATAGGGTTCAAAGTTTCCTAATAGTTAATGGTTAGTTTACAAAAATTGAATACCGGTAACAGAAAAGTTGAGATCATAACATTCCAAACCCACACAACTTAAAACAAACTTCCAATGGATAAATTTCACCCAGATATAAATAAAACTGATGCTGAGATAAATATCGCAAATGACTTAACATTGTGAAACTGCTTGGGAATTTCAAGGCAAAAAGGTTAAAGCCGCTACCGTTGGTACTAACTGGGAGGATGAGGGAGTGAGGAATCCTTGATAGCAGCCGCCCGAGCCTCGGCTGGTAGTCTCCCAGGATCTGATAAAATGTCTGTAGTGGTGCAAAGTTGACGCAAGGCATTCAGAACCACTGTAACAAAAATACCAATTACAAGTAATGCTGCTGAAATTGTTAAAATTTACAATAAATATATTCATACAATGCCTGTAAGAAACAAAAAATGTATGAAATGGATTTAGTTGGGCTGTTAATTTGAGACACACCAATTCATCACTAGGCCAACTTAAAAAAAAAAACCTAATTGCGGTGTGACAAGCTAAATTTGTTGTCATTTTACAATACAGTATTATTTAAACTAACTATAGGCTATGTTAAAAAACAATTTGAACTCTCTCTGGTCATTTGGGTAAGAAATATGTGTTTTATCTGTCTTGTGTATTCTATATATTACTATTACTATTGTATAATGTTCTATCCGTATTACTTGTACAAGGATGTCCACGTAATGTATTTTAGTCATTTTTTACCCCCCCCCCTCCCCACCATTTGTGACACTGCATGCATAACGCAAGCCTAAACCCTAATCCACCCTGTAACATAACGCTGTCAGATATTTTCTTAAACAAGGTTGTAAAAAAATACACTGTTTTGGAAATAATTAGATTTTTTAGTGATACTGTAAAGATCTTGAAAACCCCCTTCCCCCTCCATGTAACGATGCGAATGGCTAATATGAATGCGGCCAATGAAATGCGTAAGGTTAATCTTAAATCTGATGCGGCCCTTAGGTTAAGCATGGCTATCCCCCTTTATTCTGCGATTCAAAATCCTAGGTTAAAATAACAAAACTTCTTCATATTTGTTTTATAGGCTTGCATTGTAAAAGAAAGCGTTACTATGGTTGTGGTTGTATATACTCACAAGGCCTGAGCACACTGAGAGTGCAATGTTGATCCACCCAACTGAGAGTTGTTCTGTACAACTCGTCCAGACTCTGTGTGGATACCTGTGCATTGAAGGAGTTGAGCAGAGGCTCACACAAGAGACTCAACTGTACTATAGTCAAGGAAAGACAACAAACCTCCACAACAAGTAAAAAACAAGAAATATTTGTATTGGAACGTTTTCAATTACTGTTTCAATTTATGAATGAAATACAATTATATTACATTATAGCCTACCAGTAGAAATAATGTCAGAGGTTGAATCTATTATACAGGTTTATTTATTGTATATGTTAATGATCTATGCAATGCTACTAATATGTTCACCTTTCAATATGCAGATGATACCGCTATAATTTGTACAGGACAAAACAATGAGTTCATACAAGCCTCAATAACTCAGGAATTTCAACTCCTCGGGGACTGGTTTAAAGTAAATGGCCTGTCCATGAATGTGGCAAAAACTCAACTAATTAAGTTTTCTACATCCAATATTAACCAATAATTAATTGTAAATTCAAACTTAACTAAATTCATTCACAACAGTCAATAAATTATTTGGGAATAGAAATCGATTCACAACTTAATTGAAAAAAAAAAAAACACATTAAAAACCTATCAAAAAGACTACGCTCAGCAACATTTGTTCTCACAATAATTCAGGATACTACTAATCTAGAAACACAAATAGTAGTATATCACGCATATTTTTCATGGATTATGAATTATGGTATTACTGTATGGGGCTCATCAAAACCCTCATTCTGTAGGAGAATATCTGGAAGATGAGTATATTTGAAAGATATTACTTCTCCCATAGGTTTGTAGGTTATTGATTTTCTTGATTTCTTTTGTAAGCTATTTTTATTATTTAAAAATGTAGTCTTGTACATGGATACAGATAGTCTTATACATGGATACGGTTAGTCTTGTACATGGACACAGATAGTCTTGTACATGGATACAGATAGTCACTATTAATTTTATTTTAAAATACATCACTATGACAAAACACCTGTTTTTATGTATGAATTGAACTTTATAAAGGACGTTTTATGTTAACAGAATGAAAAAAAAATTAAACAAGAAAAAATTAAAAAACAATAAAAAATTTTTTTTTAGAAAAAGAAAACTCGGATTCATCAAAACCAGATCCAGCCCAAGATTCAATTTTTTGTGGATCCGATTGGGCGTCGGTTCTAGCTCAGATCCGGTAGTCCGATATGTGGATCCAACCATCACTAATCAAAACAGTACATTTGGGGAATAGGAACATCGTCTGGTGTCTTAAAATTAATATAAATTAAGGATACGATCCAAAACTTCCAGTTCTCTTGAGTGCGTACTCGAACATATTCATCATACATCTCCTTCATCTTTGTACTTCGGTGTCGGGAAACAGGAGCCCCAGTAGCTGGCAACATTGCTTGGCAGTTGCTGAAAACAGCCACATTTAAATTGCCAACTAAAAATTATGTAGTTTCTTGTTTTCAATTTATAGATTATTGATATTGAGGAGCCATTCATTAGTTTGTAAGCAATGATTATAATTTGGTAAATTATTAGCTTTTTTATGGACATTTGGGTACTTGAATCCTATTCAAAAGTTTAAAAAATGATTGGATAAAAATTGGAAGTGGTGAAGTCTAATCTGGTGGCTTTGTCAGATAGTGTAACAGATGTTGTTATTTTTGGATTAGATAAGAGTACTAATGCAATTCTAACAGAACGACGAGTAGCTCAATATAAAACTGATTGTGCTCAAGTGTTTATCGACCAATAAGATCCTGACTCTGTTTGACATGTGGAACAACTGTACAGAACAACATAAAGGTTATAATAAACTTAGCATTCAGTTGTGAACTGACCTGATAGCAGAGTTCAATGACTCCACCTGTTGCCGTAGGTTGTCTATTTCATCTTTGAGTGTTTGTCTATCAGCCCTCAGCTGTCTGATGTATTCAGCTCCCTTTTGTAGCATTGCAGCCTTGCTAAGCTGCATATCAACAGATATTGGTTTAATATGCAAGCCTTTTCATTCAAAAACTATCTTAAATCAATTAGAATAAACAACCTTAAATTCAACAACAGAAATCAAGGGCAACAATGTTGTGTTGAAATATAATGATAAAAAGTATGTCTTGTATAAAATTAAAGTTTTTAATCCATATAGATGCATTTTTTCTGTTACATAATACTAACTAAGCAAATAGTTTTATGAACCATTCTGACCACCAGGAAAACTTGTAAACTTTGAAAAATATATTTAATGTTTGAAAAGAAAAATTTAAAACACTGATAACTTGAGACCTTCAGTATATAGGCTCGGTATATAGTTTATTTGAATTGTAAAAGAAACAATCCAAAAAAATCTACAACACAAGCCACTATCATAGTCATTTAAACAAGGTTGGTTTAAATGCCAAGAGGATAAACACCTCGGTTGTAATTTTGGTAATAAAGGAAACTCACACTTTATAAAAGGCAACTAATTTTTGCTTTTATTTTTTTTCAGTGGAATTTCAATTTATTATGATGGAAAATTTCCTGAATACAGCTGTCCAAATTATGTAATCTATAAAAAAAGAGTGCATACAAATAGTAAAATCTACCCTAATATAAAAGTGAAACATTGAGTTGAGGCCAGTGCACTCAAACATCACTGACACGGAACACTTATCAACACTTGCTCTATTTTCCCTTAATCTTCTGTATAATCTTTGCTCAATAGTTAAAACTGATAACTTTCCCTTTGTACTGTATTATACAGGGTGTCCCGTAACTCTCTGGACACTTGTAAATAGCGTTATTCCTTAGGTCAAGACAAACACATTTCACCACAATTCAAATTTCAACAGAACACATTTCATGTTGCAAGGAACATGGGTCTGTGGTGTCTAGTTTACCGACTGTCGGCATTTATGTGTTTTTTACATAAACATTAATAAATCCTAAACGGTTTGAGATACAGCTTTGATATTTTGCAAAAATTTTAATCTTATTAAGACCTATTATTGTTAGACATTATACTAAAAAATCATTAACCGTTTCAAAATGGCGGCCATTTAAAATATTTGATGCCAAATTTCACGAAACCCGTTAATTTTACAAAAAAATTGCAAGAAACAAAAAAGTTTGTAAATTTTATGTAGTTTTCAATGATACCTTATTTGTTAAGATTGAATAAATAATAAGAGAGAAACGTGTTGTTTTCGTAATGTATGACCACTTTTCTCCATTTAAACAATGCTAAACAACGTAAAAGGAGTATTAGCATTGTTTAAATGGAGAAAAGTGGTCATACATTACGAAAACAACACATTTCTCTCTTATTATTTATTCAATCTTAACAAATAAGGTATCATTGAAAACTACATAAAATTTACAAACTTTTTTGTTTCTTGCAATTTTTTCGTAAAATTAACGGGTTTCGTGAAATTTGGCATCAAATATTTTAAATGGCCGCCATTTTGAAACGGTTAATGATTTTTTAGTATAATGTCTAACAATAATAGGTCTTAATAAGATTAAAATTTTTGCAAAATATCAAAGCTGTATCTCAAACCGTTTAGGATTTATTAATGTTTATGTAAAAAACACATAAATGCCGACAGTCGGTAAACTAGACACCACAGACCCATGTTCCTATGGTGAAATGTGTTTGTCTTGACCTAAGGAATAACGCTATTTACAAGTGTCCAGAGAGTTACGGGACACCCTGTATAGCTGGCTAGTACCTATGACTAATCTTCAGTATCCAATAGTCAATGCTAGTACTGTGGATGTCTTGTTATAAACACATGTTACAACACAAGTCTTTTGTTTACTTTTACCATGTCATTTTCTTCAACAACCAACATAGTTACTTAGTAAACCCATAAGGCCAAGCCAATATTAAATTTTCAAATGATTTGTGTAGTGAAATACAAAATTTTCCTGGGGTAGTCCCTGTCGCCAATCACGTTTTAGGGCTAACAGTCCCTAATTCCAAAATTTAGTCAAAATACTTCCGCTGGATTTTGAGTTATATATTACAGACAGACAGATAAACAGACATAGCTCGTATTGGAATGTAGGATTATGTGTGTAGAGAGATAATATCAATGAATATTTAATTGACAAACTGTTTCCTTACTTTTGCATTCGGGTTCTGACTGAGCTGAGGTATTAGACTGTGCAGGGTATCAAACCCATTCTTGATGTTACATCTTCTCTTCTGCTCTGCGTTGATGTGACTCACCCGCCGATGTTCCTGTAATCCATCTATGGTTTAAGCTCTTGAGCAGTTCCATCAATAAAACTACTCAACTGTTACATTTAATCCAACAGATTTACAGTAGATAGCATTATAATAATCTAATCTGAGTTTTTAACAGTCTCGATCAACTTGCATTTGACAAAACTACTGATTTCAGTGGTTTTAGCGAATTTTCCATATGGGGAATATTAGCAAATTTCCCTTATAGGGAATAAGCTGTTACAGTAGGTGTCATGGTAAGACCTAGACCCGCGACTGATTTAATTATTTGTTTTGAGGTCCCCAGAGGCCAAAAACACCATCCGTTCAAATTCATATATATACACTGTAATATATGTGTCCGTTAGCGCGATAACTCGAGCAAAAATGATCGATTTTGATGAAATTTGGTACAAACGTGTAAACCTATGTTTATTCGAACGAGTTTGCGAACCAGCATAATCGGACTATGGGAACAAGAGTTTAGGGGGGCTTTTATGGGGTAAAAATTGGTTTTTCTCATTTTTGACCCTAAAAACAAAAGATTTTGCAATTTCTTTCTAAACCATTTTGTAGAGCTTAAAAAATAAACAATATTTAGTATACTGAAGCGCTGATGTACCCCTAACGGTTACAGAGAAAATTAAAAAAAGTTTAATTAAAAATTCTTATGTTATTCTTATGGAGAAAATGAATTGTTGATAAAATTTGGCAAATTTATTTATTTCATCCTATACTATTGACCCATGGTCAAAAAATATGTTTTACCTTCCCCGTAGCAGCAAACCTAAGCACTCGTTAAACCTAATGTTATTTAAATTGGGAATAAATATGTCTTATTTATGGAAATATTTTAGTGAAAATGTAATTTGAAAATAAAGTTGAAATTCGCTTAGTCTGCAGGTTTGCTGCGGCGGGGGTATTTTTTGATGAACTATGTATAAAAAAACCTGAAATAGAATAGTTACAAATCATGTTCAAAATTTTCATTCATAAATTTATTAAATAAATTTTCATTTATTTTTAGTAATGATTGGAAACTAGGACGTATAAACAAAAAAATATAATAGGGATGAAATGAATTTAGGTTGCTATTCTTCGTAGTTGTTCGAACCGGAATGCTCTTAAGACTTACTGCTATCACCTGCAAAAATGGAGTTTAAACTTATGATAACAACTAACAAGTCTCGGGGTATTAAAATGACAAATTAATGTGGGTAAATTAACTTAAGAATCTATTAGGTAAACAGAACGGTTGTAATTTTGGATGGATTAATTTACAATTACTAATCTATTTGATAAAACTGATGTATAAAAGATCAAATTTCAAACAAAAATCGTGGTAGAACGAGAGTACGTGAGTTTACCAAAAGTGAACGTGAATAATGATAAGTGGTATTAACCATAATACGAGTAGCAAACATTCAGAATAAATTATCAACGATTGGCATGTAGGATGCGTAGCAACAAGGACAGGATGTTAACTCGTTAGTGGCGGACAAACGAACAATTTAGTCTTTTATGTTCTCCATTTAACCGTGGCCTGTGCTTAATCACGGTAGGTTTTTGCAAACTTGAGATCAATAATTTGTATGAATAAAAAACTCAAATTTAACTGCTAATTAAAATAATAAAATAAAAAATACATGTTTGTCTGTTTACTTGTATTATAGATCATTGAAACTGCTCAATCCATTATGTTACACCATGTAAACATAGTAAAAGTAAATGCAAACCAATAAGTAGGGATGGACGAGATTGGATTTTTAGTTCGAGACAAGACGAGACGAGATTTTTTATTTCTCATAAAATTTCGAGACGAGATCGAGACGGGATTTCCCTTCTCATACACAACGGGAAATACACGTTCAAAATTTTTACCTGATTTTGTAACATTGTTAGATGACTGTTTAAATACAAAAATAATGATAATAGGCAAGAATATTTACAATATTTTATTAAAAAACATCAGCTAATCACGCCTAACTTATTAAAAATGCCTACGATTAGAAAACATAGTGATATCAGTTAGGATAGAGTTCAACTTATCCTAAAATAAAATAAATCATAAAATAAAAGCAATATTAATTTTTATAAAATAGTTACTTGTTTTGACTTTTTATAGTAATAAAACATTCCTCACACTGCTTACACTTAACAAAACTTCTCAAATGTTATTAAAGTAATATTATAAAAATAATTAAAGTAATATTTACATTTAAAGAATTAATTAAATAAGAACGCCTTCGCAAAGGAAACGCAACTACAACACGCTCCTGTATTGCGGGTATTGCATTGACTTTCTGCAGGCGTTTTTAAATTTAAATTTTTTTTTGTATTCTCGTCTTGATAAAAATCTCGGCCAAAAATAAATCTCGTCTCGTGTAACGAGATTTAAAATTTCCCGAAAATTTCCCAAAATTTTGAGACTTGACCATCCCTACCAATAAGTTAGTAGGTTAGTTAAGAAGATACTAGGTTGTGATGTATATTACCTTGTAGACACCTGTAGTAGGCGAGTGTGGTGTGGCTGACCCCGGACTACCAACGTTGAGAGGTGACAGACTGAGACAATCACTGGCTCCTGGACTGTCAGGGTGTTTAGGACTGTTGCTGGCACTGCTGATCACCTGTACAACAATCACTCTGTTCACTAAACTTCTTGAGTAAGTAGGGACACTGTATATAAACTCCAATACGGTTAACAGTATTTACACAACTCCAAGTATGTAACAGGCATGTTATTCTTTAGTGTATCAAAGCTTTCGTTGAGGAAAATAGCGTCATTCTTATTAGAAGGGTATATTCTAATTAATATGTTGTTAAGAAAAAAAACTCAAATTGGTATTGACTGAATAGTCAGGGGTCTGTGGGTCTTGGACCAAAATAAAATTGCTTTGGAACTCATAATAATAATATGATTTAATTATATAATATTGTACATGATCTCCCCCATATTGCAGTAAAGTGATATCTCCCGCTGTCAAAGTGAAATCGAGAATATCTTCTGCAGTCACGGCGATATTGTTATTGTCTTCTGCGGTCCTGGGACATCGCAGGGTAATGGCTAATTTAAATCGTAAATCCTCGTGGACGCTTTCTGCTATCAAAGAAATAAAAGCTCGGATCACCCCTTACCAGCTTGGCTCTAAAATTATTTCACATTTGTCTACTGGTGATGGACTTCAATAGTGGTTATTGCCTTAGACAAAAGAAATCTAATAACAGAATGCGATTTGGAGGTACATTGCAGAAGCGTATATTTTCCTTCGCATCGTTTTCAGTTACTATGACAAAACCAATCAATGGGATTTGGTTTGAAGCTTATTGCCTAGAGGGGTTAAAATCTGAACACAGTGCTGTTTTCACATTGGAACTAGCTTGCTGAATCAAAATTGGAAGCTCATTGGAGACGTTGATTTACAAAGAGCCAACGTATATGATAACAATCAATTAAGTGGTCTCGCCTATTCTACATTTCAATGATGTTACCCACCTGGGTGGACGTTTGTGAAGGTGACACCTGCGGTAACATGAGAGCTGGAGGTGGTGGAGGGTGGTGCAGCAGTGGGGCTGATGTTTTGCGGTGTCTCACTCCACCTCCCCCTGCTGGGCCTCCGGTAAATGTGAACGTCTCGTAGATCGGAGGTATACGACTGTCCGTTATACTGACACTGCGTGCTGATAGGTTCAGGGAGCCATTGTCACTAAACAACCGTTGGTTGAAGATTTGAATAATCCACATGATGTTTAAAAATTTGTGATTACAAATGTTTACATTTTGTCAGTAGATAGAAGTAGACTGCAGTTTTTCATGTCCTACTTTCACAACCTAGGACACTAGGCTTTAGTCTAGACTCTAGAACAGTTTTACACATTACTTGAGGCTTACTGATGGTCGCGGCATTACCACATAGCTGCTTAAAGCCATTGGCTATTGGCAGGATTTGAATCCAAAACCGACGAATCCTCATGCTCTAACTTTAGACTGTTTTGCTATCCACAACTGCAGTACCATGGGGAACAACAAACCCTGGCAGTTCTGGTAGGCCTACAGTATGACTTGCATTCTACAAAAGTACCAAATTTAATGTTAACAGTATTTGAAAAAGCATTATATGATAAAACAAACTAAACGGGAATAGAATGTTGGATTTATTTTAAATAACTTTTAGATTATGTGTGAAACATAATATAAAATGTGTATGTATATTCACAAGTAAAGAATGATGTCTACTAAATCTGGTTTGTAAAATTCAAGGAGTTTTCCATGAGAATTCAAGACAAATCCCTGAATTTTAAGAACTACTATCGGAACCCTACTTTAAGCTTTATCACGCCGTTTTTATATTTAGTAAAAACTGTTAAAAGATTTTAAAAAGAAATCATCATTTTTATCACATACGGTAATGCATTAAAAAATGTACTTCAGAAATAGTATATTTATGGTCGAGTTTTTGACCATGGGGCAAGCTCTAGTAAATCTATAAATTAGTTTATATTTGCAAATAAATTGCTGAAACACAACTCAGCAATTTCTAATCACAATATGGAATGAAGTTTTATTATTCTGGAAACTACAGGTGACTTACAAATGGAGAAAGATAGTCTAAAAGGTTCAACCTTCAACAAACTTGATTTTCTGTTATTCATAACATTTGATAGACTTACGTCTGTGTAGAATATATTACTGAGCGATGTTGAGCTTGCTTTTCTGGCCGTTCAGGCTTTTTATAGTAAGAAGCTTCAAGTGATGGAAGTGACTCGGACATTTTGAGTGTTTCATTGGGGAACCCTGCTGCTGAGGGTCCAGTGTAGGCATGGGATGTTGTACTACCTGTAACAATATAATATAATATAAATATAATGTAGGCATGTGTCGATTCTCGATACCACCGATACTTAGACGTAGGTATTGGTATTGAGAATGGATCAGCAAAAGTCGATTCCGATACCAATACCTGTGATTTTAACTAGTAAGTGATGGGTCGGTACTTGACGTCAAATTTTTGCCGGTTTTTGGCAAAAGAACAGGAACAGGAACCGAGAACCGATGGTGAAATGTCGGTACCGGGACCTTCGGTAACGATAATGCCGAAAAATTACCTTTATTGCAACAATCGCGCAAGACAACGATGACGTTTCTGTGGCTGTGGGTGATGTTCATGATTTTGCCGCGATCGTGGACAACGGCGAAGACGTTTACGTGACCGTGGGAGTTTGTGATGTTGTCTACACGGCAGCGGGAGATGTTCATGATTTTGACGCAACCACGGGAGATGATGATAACGTCCACACGATGACATTTCCGTTACTGAGGGAGTCAATGATGTTTAGACGGCCGCAGATGATTTTGTTGCGATCGCGGATGACAACGATGACGTTACCGCCATCCCGGGAGACGACAATCACTGATCGCAATAGATGCTCATGGTTTTGCCGTGATCGTGGATGACGACGAAGACGTTTCCACGACCGCGGGAGTTCATGATGTTATCTACACGGCCGCGGGAGATGTTCATGAATTTGCTGTGATCGCAGGAGATGATGATGATGTTGACACGAGGACATTTCCGTTACTGAGGGAGTCAATGATGTGTTTTTTTTTTTGTACAAATAAGTTTTATTTTCTTAATCCCTTTAAGTTTTGTAACAACCTAATACTAAGCAAAATACTGTAAAATTGAAATACTTAATGGTATTTTTGTTTTAAAAATAAAAATTAAGTAGCCTATCCTAAAAAATTAAAATAAGATACCGATGGTACCGGAACCGAGAATCGATTTTGTCTAGCAACCGGTACCAGTACCGACTTTGAAAAAGTGGTAACGACCCATCACTATAGCCTTTGACTGATAGGCCTATAATTTGTATTTTGCAAGACTTTTTCGTTTGCCTTTTAATTCCGTTACCTCTTGTTCAATTGTAACTGTATTGTTTTCACTATTTTATTAATCAGGCTAATTTGAAATAATAAGACAATAACAAATATATAACAAAGAAAAGTGTTGGTATTTGAAGTATACATAAAAAAAACTGTCTTTTCGTTATAAATTTCCAAGTCTTCTTATAAATTTTAATGTTCTGATAGCATTATTTAAAACAAAAATCTCAAAAAATCTAAAGATATACAGTTTACAACTTAATATTGAATTTAACCTTGATTTAGTTTGATAATATTATTATAATATAGCCTTTTTAGGAAAACACCCTTTTGTCAGTAAAGCCACAGTAACACCATTTATGCTCACTGTTGTTGTTCAGCTGAAAAATATAATCTAAATAGTCCGTGACTAACTAGTGCTGCTACCTAACGCATTGAAAAACTAAGTTGTAGCGCCGTTGGTGGCGCTATCTTATAGCAATTGTTGACGTCAGCTTAAATACCAGTTTTTACTACATAATCTCCAAACACAGATAGCCGAGAAGGCTAGGGCATGTGTCATTTGGCCAGTGGCATTCGTTTGCTCGGGTTCGATTCCTGTCCTGTGTAGCAAATAATTGGTGACCTGTGGTTTGTAGTGATATACTACAACCACTGGGGCATAGTGAGGTGTTCATAATCCTTTGGTTAGACATATACCTCGAATCATAGGAGTGGGTGAATCTTTTAGCTAAGTGGTTGTTAGTATATCCTATGAACATGGTCACCAATGGCCGTTTTACTACTTTTTGTTAAAATAACCTTCCTCTCTATATCCCTTAGAAATTTTAGTAAACAACGATTTATCGTTCCATAGCACTCAAAGGGTTAAGTTGAAATATTAATTAGTGATTTAACATTGTGGTGCTGCGGACATGCCAGGGAGACAAATTGACAATTTTGAAGCTAAAGGCAATTCAGAAAGTAGCTGCAATACTGTGATGAGATTTAATTTAGACTCTAATGCAGACAAGGAATGGGAGAACTACTTCCAAAAATTAGAAATTGAGCTGTATTTGCACAAATCAAATCAAATCAATCTTTATTTGTTTGCAATAATAATAGTGCAGCATTACATATAGCCCAGGCAAATTAGACATATGCTCCCCAAAAAATCGTCTAAAGCTTGAAAGTGTTTTAATACCTTTTGGGGGTCCCAAATAAGACTCCTGTGAGTTTGCGACGGATTCTGACGTCTGCTTAAGTTTTGGGAGTCGAAAAACTATGAAAATTTTGCACTTTTTAAAGTTTTTCGCTTATAACTCCTAAATAACGAATCCTAAGGAAAATGTTGTTCAAAGGTGTCTTTTAGTGCATTAAATTCCGCGTCGATTGATGTTAAATACGTCAAAATCGGCCGAGCCGTTAAGCCGCTGTAGCTTTTCAAAGTTGGAATATTTTCATCAACATGGCCAAAATGTTGATTATTTGACCAGTTTTCGGCTTAAACTCCTAAACGACGCATGCTATACAAAAATGCGCCTGTGGTTAGTTTGGAAAACACAAAATTCGGGGTAGAATTAAGATTATGATTGACTAGATAGTGGTTTATTTCATGGTTATCATCCAGAGGGTTATCCAAGAATGTGTGAAGGGAAGGGTAGCAAGACCCCCTATGCAATTTTAAATCTAATATTGTTGAGGGGGTTACAAAAGTTCTAGGATTCGTTCTAAGCTCCCATTTATACGATCCCATCTCTGGACACTCCCGAATGATGTTAAGCGATTCTAATATAAAATATTACAACGAGAAAGATTTTATTAAATATAGCAAAAATGTTATTTTTTAGCTTAATAAACGAAAGATGATAATAGGACGGATATACATAGTTTTACTATCTATTTAGCCTATTAAAAAAAAGATTGGGATTTTTCGTAGATTTTACCATATAACTTTTCTACTTCTCATCATTGGAATCTTAAGAATAAGGATTCATTCTTTGCTCTTATTGGTCTTGCCACAAATGGTGACATTCGGTACCATCTTTTTCGTCAGATATCGAATAGAGATAATCGTGCCCCTTGCAAGTCTTTCAGACAGTAGTGCATTATATCCCTGCATTTCATATTGAGCGAGAAAATGTAAACCTTTTTAACATGTACACGATGGTCGAGATAGGTAGACGGAGTTGAGAAGTTCTTGTCGAACCGGTGGATTAGCCGTAGTGATGGGAGTTAACCCATTGACGTTAATTTTCATACCAATCTCTCTGAATTAAGTACAATTTTAAATGAGCTCTAAAGGATTGGTGGATGAGCAGCCCCTTTTGTTAGAATCAAAGTCAAAATTAGTTGAAAGTGTCCTCTAGAAGACACCAACCCTCACTTGATTTGGATATTTTCTGCTCCCAACCATGTATAGGGCCAACCTGCTTCTGCAACTTCGCCAAGCGTTGTAACCCGTCAGAACACAGTGAGATCCACATTGATAGAGTAAACAGCATGAGTAGTTTTAGGCTACATGAATAGTTAGATTTTCGACTCTTCTACATCACGCTTTCTTCATCAAACTGCGCTAGTGGGTACGGACCTATTTTTAATCCAAAGTATGATTCAAATTGAGGCTTGGATTTAATGTGGAATATCACGTGTTGACTGAGGGGGCAGATTCTTCTTTAACCTTTGCTGTTGCCATCACAGCTGGCGATTAATGTCACCACTTCCTTTTATTCTGCACAGTTTATGGTCATTATAGGTTTGCCTATTTACGATTTTCTTGCAAGCTGTGCCTTTCCATTATGCTTTATACATATCTCGCGTTGATGCTATCATATGGGATAACTGCTGAGCTGATTGACATGAGCGAACTATTTTCAGTAAATGGGTCGTGACACTGGAACCATTTGATGAATTTCTTTTTGATCCCACCGTATCCGTGGAGTTTATATTGTCAACTTGCTGATAATATGTCGAAGAGGTGATCCCATAATATACCTTAACTTAATGGGTAGCATTCACTGCGATGGGCCTGCCAGCGAACCATCAGGCTAGATCCAAATCATTGATTCCCCTATCTCGGAAAAAGCTCTCCACAGTAAGATGTTGCTCTCATGAACACTTACTTGTTCATAGGCCATGCTGCACGATCCATGTCGTCACACTAGTGGATAGATTCACTGCCATATCCCCTATGTTTTTTGTAATTAGGCTGGTTGTTTGCCAGATTTCAATGGTAAGATTTTTAAACTTGACAAGCATCTGATCTAGTGTTAACAATCAATAGCGGTTAAATGGTGAAGCCGATCTTAATGAATTGGAAAACATTCTACGCAGACGTTTATGCTCTTCAAACTAACTACAGGAACATGTTTTCTATAGCATGTGTTAGAAGATGTAAGCCAAAAACTGAAAGATGAATACAGGGATAGATCGTATATAATGGGTGGTTGGGATGAATCCTAGTATTTTCGAAACCTCAGACAACAATATTAGACTTAAAATTACATAAGGGGTCTTACTCTCATCACACCTTATTAGATAAACCTCTAGATGACCATCATGGAATAAACCACTAACTAATAATTCATAATCCATTTAAGGACAGGATCTATGTTGTTACCAATTTTATTAAAATTTCCCAACTTTAACTTTAATACTTTTTTTCAATGAAATGGCGTCCATACAAAGTAGGTAACAATCAGTTGCCGTTATTGATTAATAAAAAAAAAACATTATACGCAGAATTTTGTGTTTTCCAAACTAACTACAGGTGCATTTTTGTATAGCATGCGTCGTTTAGGAGTTTTAAGCCGAAAACTGGTCAAATAATCAACCTTTTGGCCATGTTGATGAAAATATCCCAACTTTGAAAAGCTACAGCGGCTTAACGGCTCGGCCGATTTTGACGTATTTAACATAAATCGACGCGGAATTTAATGCACTAAAAGACACCTTTGAACAACATTTTCCTTAGG